AAATGGACTCATCAGAGGGATTTTTTTTATTTTGGTTGCGGTGGCTCTGTTGGGCTTTGCCCGTGATTTTTGACTCACCCACCGTCTCTCTTACTTCGATATAACCACAGAGGTGTTTGGAATTGAATTTCAAGCGAGTAGAGAAAAATTTTACCTTTTTGGCGGTCTGCGGTGGCCGGTGCGTGACAGTCAGCGATTAGCCTTCTTTTTCGGTACCTGGTTCTTCTTCTCCGGTGGAGGTTAGCTGCTAGGGTTTGAGTTCCCCTGTGACATGAGATATTTATACCCATCCTGCGTCGATATGGACCATTTATCGCGATTGATTTCGTTTGTTAGATCGTGCCTAAGAAAAAAATAAATATGAGATGTTCATTGCGATTGATCTCGTCCGTCTGATCGCACCTAAGGAGGAAACTAATCTAAGTCGTTCACGCGTGTGAGATCAAACCTAGGCCATCAGATCGCTGGGCACACAGATCGTCCACGTGGCCCTCCACGTGGCACCAACATCAACGTGTTTTGACACGCGACATGCTCTGGTTTGTCAAGGCTGCTGACTGAGCCATCCCCACGTGGTCGAATTTTTTTTTTTGTATTTTGACCTCCTATTTCTAATTTTTCTTTTAAAAATACCATCCAAACTCAAATTTTCACCTCGTTTTCCCAAAAAAAATTTCAATATCGTCCCCAATTTATTTTTTCTAAAAAATTTAATAAAATAAAACCTAAATAAATAAATAAATTATTTTAATTAAATAATTTCATAAAAAAAAAATTTATCCCAAGTCGCTTTTAAGGTCCGAGTATTATAATTCTCCTCCCCTTAAAAAAATTTAGTACCTCAAATTAGTCGCTCTCTCACTCAGTCGAACAACTGGAGGATACTGGGTCTTGAAGCTTGATTCCAGTTCCCAGGCAGCCTCTTCCTGCTTATGATTTTGCCATAGGACATTGACGAAGGGAATTTCTCAGTTGCGAAGTATTCTACTCTTCTGGTTTACAATGCCTACTGGCACCTTCACATAGGATAGATTCTCCGAAAGTGAAAGGGGCTCATGGGACATGATGTGTGAGGGGTTCAAATTGTACTTTGGTAGCATGGATACATGGAACACATTATGAACCCTAGATAGCTCTGGAGGTAGTACCAGTCTGAAGACGATTATATCAATTTGGTATAAGATCTCAGATGCCCTGATGAATTGAGAATTTAATTTTCCCCTATTGCCAAAGCTACTGATCTCCTTGAAATGAGTAACCTTAAGAAACACTCGATCACCTTTTTTAAATTTTAAATCCCTCATCCAAGTGTCTACGTAACTCTTCTATCTGTTCTGAACTATTTCGATGTTCTTCTTGATCTTAACTATCTTCATTGTAGTCTCTTCTTTAAGATCTAGGCTGAATAATTTTCTATCACCTACCTATTCCCAACAAATCGTTGACATGCAGGGACGACTATATAATACCTCGTACGGAGTCATGCCAGTATTTTCTTCATAACTGTTATTGTAGGTGAACTCTATCAAAGGTAGATGATCATCTCAATAGTCCCCGAAGTCTAGAATACAAGCTCGGAGTATATCCTCCAGTATGCGAATCATTTTTTCTGATTGTCTATCAGTTTGAGGGTGAAATGCGGTACTAAGAGACTGTTTTGTTACCATGGCTTGCTGAAAATTAGACCAAAACCAAGAAATGAACATGAAGTCTCTGCCGGATACCACTGTCATTCGAACTTCATGTAATCTGACTATTTTTCAGATATATATTCTTACTAACTTGTCTAAGGGGTCGGTCATCTTAATAGCTAAGAAGTGAGAAAACTTGGTGAGTCGGTCGATAATTACCCAAATAGCATCATATCTTGAGCGTGCCTTAGGCAACCATGTCAAGAAATCCGTTGTGATATGTTCCTACTTCACTCCAGGATCGGTAATGGCTAAAGTAGCCTACCTGACCATTGATGTTTTACTTTAACCTGTTGATATACTAGACACTTGGAAATAAAGTCGACTATCTCTCTTTTTATCCCGCTTTACCAAAATTGAGGTTACATACTTTGATATATTTTAGCACTTTCGGGATACATGGTGAATTTTGAGCTATAAGCCTTTGTCATGATGTCCCTTTTCAATTTACTATTATCTGAAATACACACTTTGTCCTGAAATTTGAGTAATCTATCGGCAGAGACTCAAAATTTTAAATTTACTCCCTGTTCTGCATCCTTTCTGAGAGTGGCTAGGGTGGAATTGGTGGATTGAACTTCCTTTATTATCTGAATCAATTCAAATTGAACAGTCAGGTGGGTCAAACATGTAACTCTTTTTAAGTTCTAAAGTCGTATCTATTGTGCGGCTCTTATTATTCTGTATTCAAAAACCATTAAGTGAGTTAACATATCTGCACTTTTTCTATTGAGCACATCGGTTACCACATTGCCTTTATTCGAGTGATATAAAATGTTACAATCGTAATTCTTGAGAAGCTCTATCAAATGCCTTTGATGTATGTTGAGATCATTCAGAGTGAATATGTGCTTCAAACTCTTATGGTCGGTATAAATTTCAAAAATCTCCTCATACAGGTAGTGACACCAAGTCTTCAAAGCGTGGATAATGACGGTAAGTTCTAAGTCGTGGGTGGGGTAGTTTTTTTCATGACTCTTCAACTGCCAACCCTAGATAGATGACATCACTATAAACTATATATCCACATGTCTTAGTCGGCAAGGCCAATGTGGGTGCTGTAGTCAACTGCTTCTTGAGTTTTATAAAATTCTTTTCGCAGTTCTCGTCCTATTCAAACTTGACGTTTTTCTTTGTGAGATGGGTCAAAAGAGCAGTTAGACTAGAAAATCCTTCTACAAACCTACGGTCATAACCTGCAATTCTCATAAAGTTACAAATATCCTTAACCGATGTTAATTTCTTCCAACCAAGCACTGCCTCAATTTTTTTGAGATTCACTGATACTCCATCCCTTAATATAATATACCATAGGAAGTAGTCTGTTAGAGCCAGAACCCACACTTACTCAATTTTACATACAATTTTTTCTCATTGAGAACCTGCAAAATCTGAGTTAGGTGGTAAGCGTATTCCTCTCTGCTTTTTGAATAGACGAGGATATCATCGATAAACACAATGACAAACTGATTTAGGAATTATCTGAAAACTTTGTTAATTAAGTTCGTAAAAATGGCTGGTGCGTTGGTTAGTTCAAATGACTTGACCAAGAATTCATAGTGTCTGTACCTTGTTCTGAAGGTTGTCTTAGGAATGTCATCTGGCATAATCTTTACCTGATGGTAAACCTAACGTAAGTCTATTTTGAAAAACTTTTTTAGTTAACCCGCACAGAAAAGAACGGTGAACACAATGATCAAAAAATCGTGTGAAACGGGAAGCGAGAAGGGGCTCATTGAAGATATTTTTTTAGTTTTAGCCGTAGCAACTCCGACAGGTTTTGTCCGCGATTTTGCAGTTCACCCACCGTCCCTTTTGCTCCGATATGGCCACAGGGATGCTCGGAATTTACGTTTTTGGCAGTCGGCGGTGGCTCTAGTACGGCAGCGGTCGGCAGCCAACCTTCTTCTCCAGCGCCTAGTTCTTCTTATCCGACAGGGGCTGACGGTTAGGGTTTGGGTTCCCCTACAATGCGAGATATTTATACCCATCTCACGTCGATATGAGCCATTCATCGCAATTGGTCTCGTTCGTCCGATCGCTCTTAAGAAAGAAATGAATATGAACCATTTATCATAATTGATATTGTCCGTCTGATTGCGCCTAAAAAGAGAACGAATCTGAGTCGTTCACACGCGCAGGATTAAACCTGAGCCGTTGGATTGTTAGGCACGCAGATTGCCCGTGTAGTCTCTCGCGTAGCGCCGACGTTAGTGTGTTTTGACATGCGGCGTGCTCCGCTTTGTTGAGGTTGCTAACTGAGCCATCTCATGTAGCCGAATTTTCTATTTTTGCACTTTGACTCCCTATTTCTAATTTTTCTTTCAAAAATATTACCCAAACTCAAATATTCACCTATTTTTTTTTAAAATTATTTTCAATATCGTTCCAATTTATTTT